GGGGGGGGGGGGCGTGGTAGGGACGAAGGCTGACTTACCTCCCAGGAGAAGGTTTCTCAGAAGAGGACACCTGAGCTGGTCTCCCAAAAGGTGAAAAGGAGGCCTTCCTCGGGCAGTTTGGAGAGGAGGAGGGAGCTGAGGAGTGGCTGGGGCTGGAGAGCAGAAGATGGTGTGTTCTGGATCTGGGGCTGGCTCACTGCAGCTGGAACATGGAAATGTGTGGGTGGGGACTGAAGAGAGGGGTGCTTGCAGAAGAGAGGCAGGCCCAGCACAAACCAGCAGGTGTTTAAATAGTTTGAGCTTAGCTTTAACTGAGCCCCTACTATATGCCAGACACTATGCAGTGGACTCGGATGTGGGGCGACCCCTACCTTCAAAGAAGGTTCCCAGGCAAGCCTGGGAGACAGACACATAAACAATGGGTAATGAAACTCTTGAGTCATTACAGTGAAGGGGGTTGGAACTGAGGCTGAGGATAGTCAGGGCAAACTTCCTAGAGGAGGTGATGCCTGGCTATCTTAAAAGGGAAGTAGGCATCTACTGTGGTAGGTGTGGGCAAAGATGAGAGGCTGATGCTCAGGTTTCTGCACAGATGGTGTGGTTCATGCAGCACTCTGGGCTGCCAGGGATGCAGGCAGCCTCTGGGGTTGGGGCTGCTTTATCGCCGAGAGAGCTCTCAGGCCAGCAGTAGTTGCAGGCCATGTTGCTGTCCCCTCTGTCCAGCCTCCAGGCCTGTTTTCCTAACCCTAAATGAGCTCATTCCAGGGCCCGGATGCTGGCAGGGCTCAGGATGACTGGTGACAAGAGTGGCCCCCCTAAGCTATAGCCCCTCAGTCCTGCCCCTGGCCTTCTCCACAGGAACATGTGCCTCCCCGCCTGTGCACATCACCCATACCTTGGGGAGGCCTGTCTGGGTTCCCCTCAGACTCCCAGCTGGGTACCGCCAGTGAATCTGAGCCTATCGTCATGGGTATGGCCTCCACGGGAAGGAAGAAGAGGCTTCGTAGGAGGAAACCCAGGTGGAAAGAGGACACGGTGGCAGACGATTCTAGTTCTGAGGAGCTGGAGGCGGGCGCTGAGAGTGAGCTGTCCCTGCTGGAGAAGCCGAGGCTGGAGCCCCCAGGGTGTGTGGGGGCCAAGGGTGTGAGGATGCCAACTGGGGTTCAAGCACTGCTTCCTCTGCTGGTGCTGTGTGACCCTGGGCAAGGGCCTTGACCTCCCTGGGCTTTAGTTGCTTCACCTCTCCAGGCTCTCATGCCCTGTCCAGGGTGCCCTGTGCTATCAGTGACCATTTATTTCCCTGTGGCCCCTCAGCAGTATCCAGTTGGAAGAGGAGTCCTCCTTGCAGCCCACCGACATCCACCCCTACTCCGATGGCGAGTGGCCCTCCCAGGCCAGGTGAGAGTCCAGGTGGGCTGCAGGCAGGGACTCAAGACCAAGGTTTCAGAGCGGTCTCTATTTACATTTTTCTAATAAATAATGACTTAGAACACATTTGATGTGTTTGCTGGCCATTTATATATGTCCTTTGTAAAGTGTTTAAGTCTCCTGCCCATTAAAAAAAAAAAATTGTGGTAAAATGCACATAACATAAAATTTACCATTTTAATCATAGTAAAGTGCATGATTCAGTGGCATTTAATAAAGTCATGATGCTGTGCCACCATCTAGGACAATCCTCATCTAGTTCCAGAATTTTTTAATCACCCCAAATGGAAAACCCATACCCATGAAGCAGTCACAAATTTGCCCCCCCCCCCTTTTTTTTTACTGGACTGCCTTATTGTTGATTAGTAGGAGTTCTTTACATATTTACATGTTCTTTATATATTCTGGATCCAACACAAGCATAAAATATGTTTTGCAAATATTTTTTCCCAGGCTGGGATGGGCGGCAGGCTGTTTTGGGGGTCTCTGAGTTCTTGTTTCCTGCAGCCTTTCGTCAGGTGAGCTAACATCCCCTAAGAGCGACTCGGAGCTGGAGGTGAGGACCCCGGAGCCCAGCCCCCTGAGAGCTGAGTCCCACATGCAGTGGGCCTGGGGGAGGCTGCCTAAGGTGAGTTCCTCTGTGTCAACCCCCCCATCCCTGCCTTTCAGGGGCTCCCTGGCCCCTGCAGATAAGGACTGGAGTGACTGAGACTTGGGCCATCTCCCTAGGGCCTTGTGGGGCATAGGAAGCAGGCCTGGATCAGCCTAACTGACCTCCTTTCCTGTTTGTTTGACTGAAGGTGGCCAAAGCTGAGTGGCTTATGTCCTCAATGATCCCTGATGGCAGCACTGGGGCAGCCTCACCTCCTCAGGGAGAGCCCAGCACCCCTGACCATCAGCCTGACGTGAAGGTGCCCTCTCTGATGGGTCCCCCTCTCCCTGCCCCTGAGAGAGAAAACACCAAGACTCAGCAGCCCAGGGATGCAGGTCTCTCCCCTGCCTCAAAATCATGGAGCTGGGCCACTTTGGAGGGTCCAGCTCCCACCAGGCCGCCAGAGGGGGTCTCCAGGAAAAAAGGTGAGTGATGGCTGGACACTCCCCAGCGCTTCTCTGGCCTCATGTTACCTCCAGGGTGGACTCTGGGACGTCAGGCATGTTTTGAGCACCTACTGTGTGCCAGGCACTGTGTTTGGCACCAGCCCTCATGAGGCTCACAGTCTGGTGGGCAGACAGATGGTGCATGCAGAAGCCAGGAAGAGTGTTACATGGTGATGTGGGACCAATCATTGGGTGGGACGGGGCTACCTAGATCGCATGGTCAGGGAAGGCCCCTGTGAGTGGGTGATGTTTGAGCTGAGACATGAACAATGAATATCTAGCCAAGTGGGGATCAGGGAAAGAGAATTCTAGGCAGAGGGCATGTCATGAAACCTCAGTTCCTAGACATGAAACCTCTCTCCTTCCTTATGCCCTCATGTGTCAAGGCCATGAGGAAGGAGAGAGGTTTCATGTCTAGGAACTGAGGCAGCTAGAATGTCTTGAGCGAGGCAGAGGAGAAGGTTGGGAGAGGAAGCCAGAGAGATGAGCAGAGGCTGGACATTCCCAGCTCACCAGCTGGGGTTTATCCTGAGTGTGTGGGAAGGCACTGGGCCTGCGCTGCCCAAATCGGTAGTCACTAGCTACACATGGCTACTTAAAATTAAAATTAAGTAACATTTAAAATTCCATTTCTCCATCATACCACATTTTAAGTGTGCTGATAGTCGCCTGTGGCCGTTGGCTGCCGTACTGAATGTGCAGACCTGAGACATTTCTATCATTGCAGAAAGTCTCCTGGACAGTGCTGCTTTAGGGCGCTCAAAGGCAAGGGGGCTTCATACTGCGCACACTACTGAGCACATGTCAGGTCTACAGGTGTCACCTCCTTTGCCCTCAGGCTCCCTGAAGAGAAGCCAGCACCTGGGCCCCAGTGACATCTACCTAGATGACTTGCCCTCTCTGGACTCTGAGAATGCAGCCCTCTACTTCCCCCAGAGGTGCTGGGTTCTGGGTGCCTGGGTGTCTTGGGATTGGGTCCTGTGGGGCCAGGGGTTGGCTATCAGGGGCCTGAGAGGGGTGAGGCCCCTCCTCCCAGCCTCCTTGTATTCATGTCACTATGGGCCCTTTTCCCCCTCAGTGACTGTGGGCTGGGGCCCAGGAGGTGGAGTGAACCTGGTAATCAGAAGATGCTGGGGGACCCCAACCCTGAGCAGGAGCCAGAACCTGCTCCGGACACAGTGGACACAATAGTACTGTCCCTTTGTGGTGGACTGGCTGACAGCCGGGACATTTCCCTGGGTATGTCTGACCATGAGCCCTTCTAATAAGGACTGGAACTGAGCCTGGGGGCTGGGAAGAGGAGGGAGGGTCCCAGAGGTTGCGGTGGCAGAGGTGTGAGGCTGGGTCTGGCTCCCCTGCATTCTCTGTCCCATGAAGCCCACACTCAGCCAGCAAGGGTGGGGCATTCCCAAGGCCCCGGGAAACAAAGGCCTAATGCTCAGCTGTGACTTACCCTCTGAATCCAGGATAGCCAGTGCCTGGGGTGGAAACAGCAGGTGCAAAACCCCAGGAAGGGAGGAGCCCTGTGGGAGGCCCGAGTGGTAGAGTGTGAAGGGACCAGGAGAGACTGGGGCAGTGGGTCATGCAGGACACGTCAGCCTCCCCCCTCACTCTCTGCCTCTGTGCCCAGAGAAGTTCAACAGGCACATAGTCTCCTACCAGGATCTCACCCAAAACCCTGGCCTCCTGGACGACCCAAACCTGGTGGTGAAAGTCAATGAGAAGTGAGTACCAGGGCTGGGCTGCTGGCTGCCACAGTCACCCCACTTCCTTCATGGCCCTGCAGCTTCTGTAGCCCCAACACCTGTTCTGTCCCTCCAGGCATTATAACTGGGCTGTAGCTGCCCCCATGATCCTCTCCCTGCAAGCCTTCCAGAAGAACTTGCCCAAGGTAATGGTTAGAGCACCACTGGCCTCCTGGGGAAAGTGGCCATAGCCTCAGGGTAGGGGGCCCTTAGCCAGGAAGTGGGGGTGGGCAGAGATGAGTCTGGAGCTGAGTGACTGCAAGACCTACCCTGGGAGAGGAGACCAAGGTCCCCATGAAGCCTCCTCCTTGCTGTGTGGACAGAGCTACCCCCTTCCCTGGTTTCCTGGCATAGCTGAATCCCACTGGATTTGGACTTTACTTCAAAGGTGCTCAGGACAAACCAGAGGGGGATAAATATTCAACAGGGACATGCCTTCAACAGGAGATTTTGAGATCTGAGAGATGAGGCTTGGGCCCACTCCTCACCTTACCCTGAGAACCGCTCCAGGCTGGGTTCTGGGTGCTTGCTCGCTTTATCAGCACACATTTGTTGTGTACCTACCGTGTGCCAGGGACAGTCATGCCCTCAAAGAAAGACAATTAATCAAAGATTCAGCCAGGTGAATGTAAAATTCATCTGTGAGCATTGGGAAGGAGAGGTCAGAGATGCTTTGAGAGCCTGCAACAGGGAGGTTTGTTGACCAAGTGCCCACTGGGCAGAGGTCAGAAGGATGAGTAAGCCTTAGGCAGACGAGGGGCAGGAACAGCATGTACAGATGCTCAGAGGTGGGAAGGAACCCCGCCTCTTTCAGTCCCTCCCAGAACCTCCACCCTGTGCTGACCTGTACCTGCCCCTCTGCCCTACTGGAAGTGGTCCAGGGCCCTGCCCTGATCTCTTCGCCACTCGATTAGATGCCCAAAGAACATCACTAACCAGATGTAGACAGCCGGTGCCTCCCTTTGGTGATGCTCAGCTCCATCCTCTGGCTGGCTCTGGGTCTGAGCTACGACCACAGCCTGTGAGAAGGAAGAGGGTCTCTCTCCTGCTTGGCTGTCCTCACCCGGACAGACCCTCTATTGAGATGCCTGAGACTCCCTCAGCCTGTTCCCAGCTCAAGTGGGCACCCTGGGCAACCCACCCCAAGCCCATTTCTTGGGTGCACCATTCTCTTTGTAGGAAGCACAAATCTAATCAGTATTTTTCACAAGGTCATGTTGCGCCCACCAGACAGGAACGGTAACATACAGAGCGAGCTGTTCATGGGATAGAATCACTGGCCTTATGAGTACCTGTGTTAGTCTTGGAGGTTGAGGGGAGTACTGGCCCTAGACTTTCCTTCCTGCTGCCACTTGGTGGCATCATGCAGGGAGTATCATGCAGGTCTTGAGAAACTCCAAAAACACTGCCTTCAGCTACTCTAGGGAAATTGACCCACAAGATTTGGGGGCCAGACTAAGGTTGGGCTAAAGGTAGGGGGCCAGAGCTGGGATGAAGCGGGGATGGGCAGGAGTGGCCCTTGCTCTGCTGTGCTTAGTCACATGAATCCCAGGGTGGAGGTGGGGATGTTTCCTCAGACTCCTTGCTTGATGGTCAGCCCCAGACTCTAGGCTCATGGTGACCCCAAGGGCAGCCTAAGGTGGGTTCATGTAATGAGGGGGAAATGCCATGGCCTTTATCTGCCCACAGAGCACCGTGGACAAGCTGGAGAAGGAGAAGATGCCTAGGAAGGGTGGGCGGTGGTGGTTTTCCTGGCGACGCAGGGACTTCCCAGCCGAGGAGGTGGGTGGTCACGGTCACAGGGCGGGGTCAGCCCAGGCAGGAGCCAGTTGTTCACTAGATGGATGTTCTTCTCATAGAGAAGTGCCCAGAGGGAGAAGACCACAGCCAGGGAGCCAAGGGGGTGAGTTGATCTCTTGGGTGGGAGCCTGGGAGGATTGCCGTTGGAGGGCAGGGTGGAGCCAGCACCCCCCAGCAGTGGTTCTTTGTCACTCCCCAATCACTTCTCCACCCTTTCTTTTTCCCAAGAAATACCCTCATTTCACAGATGGGAAAACTGAGACTTAGAGATACACCAGAGGCCCCACTGCCGAGAAATGGCAGAACTGGGATGGGTGCCCAGACTCCTGGCCCAGACAAGGGGTGACTGCAATAAGCAGGGCAGATCCTCCCCTCTCCACCAGGGGCCTGCTGACCTTGCTTCCTTTTTTAACTCTGAACTGAGCCAGAACCCAAGGTTGGGGGTTGGTGGCCAAGGGTAAGTCAACTGAAGCCAAAGGAGGTGAAGTTGGGAATAAACACTAAAACATACTTCTAGGTTTTCAGATAAATGTCTCCAGGCAGGCACTGGCTTCCTGGCTGTGGAGAGGCACTGAGGGCTGAGAGCCTGGGCCCTCGGCTCCAGCTCTGCCATCACCTTTCTGGGTGCAGACTTAGGCTGCTATCACCCCCAAAATGGGTGGCACCTAGAAGGAGGGCTTTCTGATTCCCTTGGTAGTTTCTGGAGGGGCAGAGACAGGCCTGGGCCCCTGTGGCCAGGGCCGAGGGTTATCTACCTCAAGTGCAGGGCCTTCTGCTGGGGGAGGTGGCCTGAGAGCTGGGCTGCCCACAGGGAGAAGACTGACGTTCTGAGCAGCGAGGATGATGCCCCAGACAGCCCTGTCATCCTTGGGGCTCCCTCCCTGCCACCCTTGCCTCCAGCCTACACTCCTACCTACAAGAAGTCCCTCCGCCTCTCCTCTGATCAGATTGTAAGTATACACCGGTGTGTTCATGTAGGGGCAGTGGGGTGGTGATAACTGTCCCAGAGCCCCATGGGGCCTGGCTAAGGAGCAGCTCCACAGAGCCACATATTCACTAAAGCCCAGAGTCCATCCCCTTGGCAGCCTCTCTAAGCCTCTGCTTGAATACCTCCAGGGGCAGTGGGCTCACTTCTTTACATGCCTGTCCATTTCTCTGTCAAATGCTTTTACTGGAAAAGCCCTGTGTGTGCCTGAAGTATTGACCTGCAGTGGCTGACTGGCTCTGGTCTGCCCTTGGAAGCCATACTAAAGGAATCAAATGGTGATGACAGCCCTTCAGATTGGCCCCTGAGTCATGTCCTTGAGCTCAGTAACAGGTGGCTCCTGTATAAGAATGTTTTCTCCCTGAGTTTGGCTCCATGGTCAGGGAGGTGCCTGGGAGGCCTGGGGGGTCTGGTACAGAGCAGCTGCCACCTGTGTAGTACCCTGGGGCTCACACCGGCTATGGCTGAGCTGCCCTGATCTTTCTCTATGGACCAAGGAAAGGGCTAAGGTCTCTCTTTGGAGATGTCTCAGGTACCTCTTTGGAGGATGTCACAAGGTACCCTAGCCCCAGGCAAGGGGCTGCCTGTGATGATTCCCACAGGGCCCTTCTATGGAATGATATGTCTCCTTGCCAAGGGCATTGGGGCTGACCTGAGAAACTTGAGTGGGAGCCACGGGCCATGCTTTGTCCTTGAGCTTCACCCCAAGGAGGAGGGGGGGTTAGTGCTCCTGTGCCTGGCACTGTGTGGGCCCCAGCACGCCCTCACTTCCACCTCGTGGCCACCCTCTGCCCTCATGGATGTGTCTGTGTGTGGCTTTCCGATGGATTCAGGCAGGTTCTCTGAGCTGGGAAGGGAAGGAGAATGAGAGGCCTGGGAATTGAAGGCCACAGTTTGGGGTGACGGGGTGGACAGTGCCTGGCTGTGGCAGATCACAGCTCCCTGCCTTTGCCTGGCCCCAGCGGCGGCTGAACCTGCAGGAAGGTGCCAATGATGTGGTCTTCAGCGTGACAACCCAGTACCAGGGCACTTGTCGCTGCAGAGCCACCATCTACCTGTGGAAGTGGGACGACAAGGTGGTGATCTCCGACATCGACGGCACCATCACCAAGTGAGGCCTGGTTGGTGGCAGAGAGGCAGGGCCTGGAGACTTGCCTCCCTCTGTGCCGGGGGATGGGGCACAGGGGAGAGGGCCTCCCAGTGCACCATCCTGGGGCTGGGAGCTGGGCCCTGGGCATGCAACATGAGGGCCACAGGACACTGCCTTGGTGTGACCCCTCCTCTGTGATCTAGGTCGGATGCCCTTGGCCACATTCTGCCCCAGCTGGGGAAAGACTGGACACACCAGGGCATCACAAGTCTCTACCACAAAATCCACCTGTAAGTGCAGGGACTGGAGCTGGGGCTGGGGCTGGGGCAGGGCCCCGGGGAAGGAGGGGCAGGATAGCTTAGCCTGCTGTGGAAAGCCAGGCTTGGGGACCAGCAAGGCCCACAGAGGAGGAAGCCAGGCCATGCCCCTGGAGTGCTGAGGCCGACCCACCGGTCCTCTCTCCTGTGGGAGACTCGTCTCCTGTGGTCTGGGATCTGGGTCTAACCACTGAGCATCATGCTATAGAGGAAGTCAATGGACTTGCTCAAACCCACATGGGCCTCGGGACTCTGTCCATGCTCTGAGGCTGCTTCTCTCGAGCCCGGCCCAGCTGTTCTCCCTAGGGTGCCTCCCTGCAAAGGCCTCTAGGTTTGGAGGCCAGAGCCCCAGAGTTGGGCTTAGCTGGATGAAGCCAAGAGGGCGGGATGGGTGATGGCTGGTCCCTGATGGCTGTGCCACCTGTCTTCACCCCCAGAAACGGGTACAAGTTCCTGTACTGCTCGGCGCGGGCCATTGGCATGGCTGACCTCACCAAGGGGTACCTGCAGTGGGTGAGCGAGCGGGGCTGCGGCCTCCCCAAGGGCCCCATCTTGCTGTCTCCCAGCAGCCTCTTCTCTGCCCTGCACAGGTAACTCCCCTACATGGTAGGAGCCCACAGCCCTGGGGGCAGTGTGGGCCCACTGCCAGCCCAGTACTAGGCCTGTCACCTGACCCTGCCACCGTCTGATTGCTACCTTTCCTCTGCTGCTTCCCTGCCCATGGCCCTGGCTCTCCAGGGAGGTGATTGAGAAGAAGCCAGAGGTGTTCAAGATCGCCTGCCTGAGTGACATCCGGCAGTTGTTTCTGCCCCATGGACAGCCCTTCTATGCCGCTTTTGGGAACAGGCCCAATGTGAGTGTCTCCTCCCCAAGAGCTGGGACACCTCTCCCCACCCCCCAGCCCACCAGCCCCTCATTGTCTCCCACAGGATATCACTGCCTACCAGCAGGTGGGCCTACCTAAATCTCGAATCTTCACAGTCAACCCCCGGGGAGAGCTCATCCAGGAGCCCATGAAGAACCACAAATCCACGTGAGGCCAAACCCTGCCATGTGTCCCCCATGCCCTGCTTCCATGTCCCCACACCCCAGCCTCTCCCTGACCCCCAATTCCATGTCCCCACTGGGGACTCTTGTCCTTGCCCAGGGCTCCCAGGCAGGGTGCAGAGTCTGCCTGATGTGGTAGCGGCCGTGGCCTGCTGGCAGCCAGCTCAGTGCTGGCCCAATTCTGTTCACAGGTACGAGCGGCTCAGTGAGGTGGTCGAGCTCCTCTTCCCGCCCGTGGCCCGCGGCCCCAGCACAGACCTGGCCAACCCTGAATACAGCAACTTCTGCTACTGGCGGGAGCCACTCACTACTGTGGACCTTGACGCCCTGGCCTGAACCTGCCCTGGCTGCCCCCTCCTCCCTGGCCTGGCCCAGAACTGATTGGGAGTCCCAGGGCATAGGGGGTTAGAAGCTGGGTGCCACAGACCCCCCCCCCCA